AAAAAAAAAAGAAGAAATATAGACAACAAATCACAACAGTAGAGAAAATAAACAGGACTCAGACAATCCTCACAAGACCCACCACACTCTCATTGATGTGTTATTAGTCGATTAATCCTGTTCCATGTGTGCTCCTCTGGTAGGAGCACATCTGGGATTCACAGTGAGAAGAGTCGGAAGAAATCCAACATGAAAAATAACTCCTCTAGTTGCAGGAACATCTGGGGTTTTCAGGCCACAGAGGACAGAGTGGAAGAGGGAGCAAATGGGAGACATGCATTTACAGACTTATAGCTTTCTCTCAAGAAACAGGGATACCCCCTTTTTTATGAAGTCACATAATCAACCAACCTAAATCCATCCCATGTTGAACAGGTTTGACTTCTAAGATAATAAAGAAAGAAGCTTGTTGATGAGAATAACAAAAGAATCCAGGTGCTGTATCCAGTGTCTTGTTAAGAGGATAAATGGAGCAGTAAGGACAAAGTAATCATATCAGAATTTTACTGTTCCATGACTCACTTAATTAAATGCCTTTAATCTAATCTGCTTGATTAACATGCTTGGTGTAATTTAATTTAAGTGCTGGCCGAGTTGATATAGCTGGTGGGGCTTCGGTATCGTGTAATTCTGCCTTGTTTGTCTCCAGTGTCTGTCAACGTCCTCATTGTGAGGTGATTTTTTTTCTTTTCTTTTACTGTCAAGGCCTATCTGATCAGAGAGCAGCCAATTCGATGCTGAGAGCATCAGTATGACAGGGGCCTGCCACACAAGTCCAGGATACACTTTATAACTTTGTCACATCTCATTTATGGCACAGAGTCCAAATCAAACTCCACTTCATTCTCCACACCTGAGGGGGGGTCAGAGGTCAGCATCAGCTACTCTTGGAGTTGTTTACTTTAAAAGGACTCGTCATTAAGATTCAACCCAGTGGCCTAAACAGGGGGCCCAGACCTCCCTGTGCAAACAAACTGATAATGGCCTGGGCTGGAGTGCGCACGGTGGCAGTATCTCAGTGGCGCACGCATGAACGCACCCACTAGACCTTTGGTGCCATTAAAGCGACAGCGCCTCGTGTCTCTTATCAACTAGCATGTAACATGTGCACCCTCCCAAAACTGTTACTGCTGTTTACAGATGCGGCTCCTGCGTCTCGAGTGGGCGGCCTGGTTTGCGCTCCGTGCCCATCTGACACAGTCTCTCCTCTCCAAAGACGCATAACGCATCAGCGCCGAAAACCCACGCGTCCCGCCTCCCGGTAGAAAGCGCTTCATATCAGTTAACCCTTAAGGCACACTGCGTTATCACGCGCCCATTAAAATGCACCCCCTCCCCCCGGTTTACGCATATGCCTTGTGGGCTGTCAGAGGCTATTATTGGGATGTTTGGAAAGCACACACTCCGCTCTTGCCTACCGTTTGTTCCCGACGCAATTTCCGATGGATGTGTTTGTGGTCCCGTGGAAAGAGGATGGCCAGGACATCCGAGACTTTTTCAGCCCCGGTCGGTCGCTCGTATCCACGGCGTCAGAGCGCTCCATGTGCCGGTGGTGGTGCCGGTCGGTGTCGGAGTAACCCCGGTGCTTGATTTTGATCGGGGTGCGGGGCTGTCTCCAGAGATGCTGCGGAGGCTTCAGAGTCGCCTGTCCTTCCCGGGGAACCGGGAGCGACAGGGACAGGCTCTTCTTCGAGCATGGTGGTGGTTCCATCATAGTGCAAAACCCACACACACAAAAAAATCTAAGATCAATACCCTCTTAACTTATTGATTAGATAATATGGCTGTATTCGCTTATTTCAAGCACAGAACGTCTCATGTCCCTCTCTGCCACTTGATCTCTGAGAGAGAACAGATCAAAGTGACCAAGTCCAGCACAGCCCAGATGTGAATCTTGTTTTGTGAAGAACATCAAAAACTGTCACAGTGGTTTTCATGACGGGTCATCCAAAAACCAGTCATCTCATTGTTTCCTGCGGTCATCAGCTTTAATTCAGCCCAGAATCCCAGAAGCTGTGCCGTGATCCTCACCAGTCCTGCGGGCTCCTGGTGATGAGACGCCGGTCCTGCTGCTTCTCCTGAAGTTTGACGCTTCGTCGCCCATGGCGCACAACGCAGATGACTGTATTTATCTCATAGGATTTATTGCTTTTTATCAGCCACTTATTGCAGAGGCGCACAGATCGCCGGCGCTGGCTTTTTCTCCCTCTCTGGTATTATTATTGTTATTATTATTGTTATTGCTGCCTCTTTGTCTCTTAGCTGTGCTCAAAATTACAAGCAATTTCCATAAAAAGTACTCAATCTGTCACGGTTCATGTGGAGCCACACGGCGCCTCCGTGCGCGCACACCCCGCTGAAGTCTCCAGTAATTCCTCCATGGAGATGTTGGCTCCAGCGAATCCAGAAAGATGTTAAACTGGACTCAAGGTGCGTCCTCCTTAAATAGACTCATCCTTCCTTCAGGAAAAGAGAAGAATGGTTGGGGAAAAAACGCACGCGATCCTTTGTCCTTTTCGATCCAGGTTTGGATTTTGTCAGAATGCATCATAAAAAGACACAAACTGATAATTGCGGAGATCTTGATCCGTGTGGGCCATTATCTCTCCATCCTCCCCATCCTCATATTTGCTGGAGTTCGACGACAAACATTGGCTTCACCACCACCTCTCCCTCCCTCCCTCCTTTTCTCTCTCTCTCTCCTTTTCTCTCTCTCTCTTTCTCTCCCTCCCTCCCTCCCTCTCTCTCTCTCTCCAAGTCCAGTCTATCTATATGGTGGTTGGGTGGTAGTCCTCCCCAGTAATTTGTCAGCGCACTGGAGCCTTTTGAAATGTTGTTGCCCTGTCCATGCGTATCACTGCGCATTTTCTTCTTTGACAGAACACAAAAACAATACATTTCTTATATAGTGTTAGCTGCAGGCCGGAAGCACGACACACATATGACACAACATGCCACCCTTCTTCATTTGACCTTTTTGTGGCTGAAAATTGCCACTTTTCACTTTTCCCTTAAGGAAGCCTGAGAGGTGCATTTCCATGTGAGTGACAAACCCCTCCAAAGCTTCCCCAGTGTTCCTGCACCCATGCAGTCATTTCTTTTGTTTAATATGAGGAATAAAACCTTATATATATCCTGTTGCTCTGGGAGCTGGAACAGGAGGAATCACATAGTTGGGTTAAAGGTCTCTCTCCCTCCAGGACCACCACTGCTAATGCTACTTTCTACACTTCAGATGAAATAATGTGACTATAGAGAAATTCATGACAAGGTGCTGTGACCTCTGTCAGTCTGAGAGCCGGTTATACCTCAGTCAAGCGGCTCATTTTACATAATGTAAAATCAGATTTCACTTTTGATCTGCTGGTGCACTGCAAAAATGAAAAGGTTAGGACAACTCAACATTTCCAGACAGCTTACTGCACTATCCATCCACCCATCCATCCATCCATCCATCATCTACTTATTCTATAGGGTCAAGGAGGGAGCTGGAGCCAAGCAACAGGTTCAGGTACACCCTGAACAGGTCGCCAGTCCATCAGAGGGATGAGAACATACAGAGATAAACTATAATCTCACATTCAATCAATTTAGAGTCCCCAATTAACCTAACCCTATCTGCATGACTATAGGAAGAACAAGCGAACTCCAAACAGACCCTGGAGGAACAGGAACCAGGATTCAAACCTTCTCGCTTCTGGCCAACACTGAGGAAACAGCATGCCCCAACCTCCTAAATTTCATTCAAGAAAATCATCCAAAGTGCAACTAATTATCTTTTGTGATCATTTATCTTTCATGATTATAACAACGCAACATTTGAATAATAAATACTAAGAATTGTGTCACTGCTTAGCAGATTTGAGGATTTTCCATATATCTCTCAATATTATACATTTTTAAATGTGTGATTACTGCAAAGCCTGAATTTCTAACTTACATCCGACCAAAACTTAGCATATGGACACAAACCCCTGCAGAAATTATCAGAAGGCACCATTTTTAACTTGGTCAAAACTTACAATGTAGTTTTTTTGCCACTGTGAATTAAGTATTGAGGGCAACTTTACAAATACAACTCGATAAAGTTAGTTGTAGCAAATACTGTTTGTTTACGAAGCCTTCAAATATCATTTTTTTTGGTGCTCTGTTTTTACAGTGTAGGTAACTATTTATTTCGGTTTTGCAGGTGCTGCTGGGTTGAGTAGGAGGAGAAGAAAGATGCTAAAATTTCAAAGGATCACACTGTTCATCTTCCTCCTAGTTTCAGCTGTACTTCAAATACAGTATATTAGTGACTGAGATTCGTAACACCTTCATGACAGCCATTTTTTTTTATTTAGATGGATGTCGACCACACCATGTGACAAATGGCGAAGAAAGGTGTATTAATCTCATCTTTTATGCGATTAAATTTGACTGTTTGTTGACGCTTTCCACAATTACAGTTTATCTTTTTGGCTGTTAGTTTTTCACAGAATTTAAATACCATCCAGCCGAGTCGGAGCTGTCTGTGTTTCCTTGCTGTTTTAATTAAGCTCGTTCGTGACTGTAAGAGTCAAACTGTAATCAAGGTGCAGCTGCGGTCTAGACAGTGTTTAGTGGCATTAAGGTGTTTGCGGATGCGGCAACCTTTTTATCTGCATTGCAGCGGAGGGTGTTGGGGAATTTGTGACTTAATGCGCCTTTTATCATGCCTGACCAATGTTTGTGTTTCACAGGCGGCTGACCCGAGAGCTCATAAGGCATCAGGAAGGAATGTTTTAGATGAGGAGGTTTTTATGTTCAGTGTGAGGCCATCATGTCCCTGGCACCAGGATAAAAAAGAAGAAAAGAACGGTCTCTGTCGACAGATGTGTTTTATAATAAACTCGTATATCGCTGCCAGTTGAATTTAGCAGGATTTTAATAACTTTTAAAGCTCAGCACGGTCTGGGTCCAAATTTTATTATGGAGCTACTTAACCCCTATGCTCCAAGTCATAATCTAAGATCTTCAAACCAACACTTCCAAGAAGTTCCATAGCTACATTCACATAACTATGTTTTTGTTTAAAAACACATCACCTCTGCCTGTGTCAAGATTGGAAATGCTGCTGGCCCAGTTTTAGTTTGATATTAAACAAATAAGTATGGATGTAGCCGAAGACAAGGCTGGTAACTAAGGGGTATTGGGCTTTTGTCATCAGGGCCCCGAAACGCAGTTGTTTTCTTCCCATGTATTCTGTAAAGTACTTTTGTAACCTTGTTTAGATGAGTGCTAAAGAAATAAAGCTTTATTATTCTTTTATTTTATCCACAGATTAACAGCACCACTGTAAGGGCCACCTAGAGGATGAGCTAGAAGAAGCTTTGCAGCTGAATGTGACTTAGCTGTGATGAGTGTGAACGTGCGCACATCTGTTTCTCTCCTGAATGGAGAGCAGTAAAGGCTCCCCAAAAGCACTTCAGAATAAATGCTCAAGAAAGAGGTTAAGTTAGTTAAGATTATTAGTGCACCAGAGAGGTGATAAATATAAAGGATAGTGTGGAAATACTGCAATGCATCATGTTCTGGAACACGGCGTGAACCTAAAAAAAAAACCTTCAGGGAGGATGTCATAGTTAAGACACTGCTGTCAAGCATCAAGAGCGGTTAACATCAGCTGAGGTGGTTGAGGCTCTAAGAAAAAATGCCTCTCAGCCATTTCCTATTTGTGACACAGCCCACCAGGAAGCACCATGCTGGCTGAACTCATTACAGCCTCAAATGACTTGGAAGTGCCTTCAGATTCCCAGAGAAAAGCTGGGGGAGGCTGCTGGGAAACAAGTCATCTGAGCCGCTGCTCTGCTTGTTGCTCTCCAGCGACCTCGACGCATGAGGAGCTAAAAAAAATAGGCAGATTGATGTTTGGATGTAGTGTAATCTTCGGAAAGACGCTGCTACTCTTCTTCCACTGCCAGCACCTTGAGCGCTCTCAGGAGTGATGCTCTGAATAACACAAGCTGTGGCACTGAAAGTTGAAAATTGCTGAATGGAACAACTTTATGATAAAGTGTGCTCAGATGCGCCAAAACAATTTATAGACACATATATTATAAGGGCTGGATTTGCACCAAGGGATATGCACGGAGAATGACGCCAAACAAGGAAGGTGTCAAACAAAGATGTGCTCCATAACGCAACTGCTTCTGTCCCGCCCACTGGCTCCATCCAATGCTGACTGGCTGAACTACAGCTCCAACCTCACACGACCGGCCAGTCCAACTTATTAGCTGGAGGCCAACAGAGACAAATGGATGCCGCCTGTCATATGTGTGCAGCACTGTAGTGGGAGAAAAACTGTGGCGCCACTAAGAATTAACTAAAAGTCCAATTTCTCCGTGGGGTCCAATGAAAGAGTTTCCTCATTTCTCCCCAGTGGGGGTGCCTCTAGCAGTCTCATAGATTGAAACAGAAGGGAAGTATGTGACTAGAAAAGAAATGGAGGGCATTTCCTGGAACTTCCCGTTAGCAGAAATGAATCATAATAATAAAAAGAAAAATCACATTTTCTACCTCTTCCCTGAGAAGTCGTTAAAATTCCCTGTGCTCTGACATAAATCAACATTAGTACCTTTATGCAAACCTTTGCATATCTTGTGGTTTTTGGAAAAACAAGTGTATAAACCATAAAGAGACATTTGGTCCAAACCACTAAACCAACAATTTCACAGCCTCTCAGGGCAGTCGGAG